CAGGAACTGCACAGCCCAGTGCAGAAAACACCATGGTGTGGCTCATCCACAGCTACACAACCAAGCCATAACCTTGGTGACCTACAGCACTGGGCATCTCTGGGCTTTAGGGAAGGAGACCTATCTTCACTCATCATCTTATGGATGAGACCACACCAGGAAGCAGGAGCGATTTATTCCAGTTCACAGACATGAGCATCAGTGATGGCAAGACCCACTGAACCCTCATTCTGAACCTGCTTTAATCCTTGACTGAAGGCAGAATCCCTGTTTCTCCTTGCCCACACACCTGGTGACTTGGTCGGCTGCAGGAGGATCACAAAACGGTTCCACAATTCCCCCGCAATCCTTTCCCCCTACCTTGGTCTCCATTCTCTCAGCTTCTCGCCCCTTCCAGGCTCCCGCAGGGGCGAAGGACCAGAAATCTCCTGCGAAAGGCTGTTGCACAGTACTTTCCTGGTAGCAGAGGAAATACTGTACTCAGGGGATTTCCTTTTGCCTGCAACTTCTATAGGCACCAAAGGTCCCAAAGCTGAGCAGGTCCCGGAGCAGGGGAAGGAGCTGGGACTTACCTGCCCAGGGGCCCTGGGCACAGGGGGAGGACCTAGCCTGGCGCGGTCAAACTGACTCCCAAAAATAGCCGAGCAAGGAGAACCCAACAGAAGTGAAGCCACAGCCAACACCAGGATGCTGGGTCAGTACCTTGATTTCTGGGACCGAAATCCTAGATTCAGGATTTTTATCCAACATCCGTGTAATCAAATCCTTCAAGAAGTCCGTAACTTCTGGCCTGTGGAAGGAAGAAGGGAGAGATGAGATAGGGAAAGGAATGGATGCTGCCTCTTCATCTCAGTGGATGTTCTTCATCTCAGTGCCAGCTACTGTGGGCCTTTTGGGCTGAGAGGCTGAGCTCCAGGCCCAACAGGGAGGTTCTTGTACACCCCCTCCTCTCCAAACCCCCAGAAAAAGCAAAATATTCCCTTTTAAGTCAATTTGAAGTGTGATCCCACATGTACAGGGCAGGAAGAGACTAACTCAAAGCCTGAGTTTCAGAAAACCACAGAAGAGTAGGGCTAGCCCTACCCTGGCAGTGCTTGGGAAACAACTCAAATGAGCTGTAAAATAAGGATTGATGGGTTGGTTTTGTTTTTGAGTACTTACTGGTCTGGGAACTCCAAAGTTTGGGTCTTGATTTTATTGTGTAAACTCAAAATCCTTTCATCCATAAAAGGGCACTACCACAAAGAAAAAGAGCAATGAGGAAAGCAACAGCCTCTGTTAAGAGACAGCAGTGGGGCAGCTAGAGGAGCATCAGGAGCTCATAGGCTTTGAAGGAAAGCAAAGATCCAGTTACAGAGAAATCCCAGAAGATTTCCAATTATATCAATATCTACTTTTAAACGCAACGAAGAAAAACATTTAACCAAAAATTACCAATTACCACAAGAGCTCCTTTCCTAAAAAATCTGCCCAGGCACAGAATTTTTTCAACTGGGGAAGAAGAGGAGCCCAGCCCTTTTGTCTGCACCCACCACAGGGACAGGCAAAGGTTTCCCATTTCCATCCACACATCCTCATCTCCACTCAGCTTGAACAGGAACACAAGGTACCAGTCCCACTGATTACCTGGAATATGGGAGGCACAAACCAACCCCCAAAACCAACAGCACTGAAAAATCCATCTCATTACCTGCCCAAACACGAAGCAGTACAGTGTAATCCCCATAGCCCAGACATCCAAAGCCTGCAGAGTGAAGAAACCATAGTTAAATCTGTAACAAGATTTATGTGTGTGCAAGGTTAGTCCAAGACCTTTCAAATTGCTATGAAATACCTTTCCAGAGAAGATTTTCCTGGTTTCTGAGAGTGTCTCTGGGGCCATGAAGGCAGGAGTGCCCACTGTGTTGGTTAAGAGGGCATCAGCTCCCTTGAACTCGTTGCTCACTCCAAAGTCTGCGATCTTGACGTGCCCATCTTCCCCCACAAGGAGGTTGGAAGGTTTAATATCCCGATGGATTATCTTCTGATAGTGCACTGCAGCCAGAGGGACAATGAGTGGTGCAGCAGCAGCAGCAAAGGAGCCACACGGTCTCCATGCGGCTCCTTCTGCTAACACCACAACCAGCCCCAGCTTTAAAAGCCCCTGTGCAGCATGAGCCACCAAAAACAGCACTGTACACCAGCAGAAAGGCCAGCTTCAGGTGTTCAGAAAAATAGCCAAAAATAAGAAATCCCATCGTTTTTGCAGAGACACTTACAGTATTCAATGCCCTTGATCAGATCCTGGAAGTAAAACCGAGCCTGGTCCTCACTGAGAGGTTTCAAGGTTGGGATTTCCATCACAGGGCTGTGAAGGCAACAGAGAATGGAGTTCATTCCCCACCCAGGTGTGCTGAAACAGGGCCTGAAGGCTTTGTCACTGGCTGGTGACAGCACACAACCCCCAACACAGGCACACAGTACACAGGGTGTACTCAGCTGTAACCAGACTGGGGAGATGCTTCTCGAACCTCAAGCCCCACCATGAACCTCCCCATCACCTCTGCACCCCATTCCCACCTCCTTGGCCAAGCTCTGCCACCCACAAACCCATCTCATGTTCGAGTGTTAGGATTAAATCTGGAATTCAGTACTCACCCCTGCTTCACCAGTTCAAACACTGCAACACAAAAGAGAAGGTGATTACAGATCGCTTACAGGGTACAGCTCCTGCGAGCACAGCCTCAGCACAAAAGCAATTATTTTAATAACAAAAATTCTAAAAATAATATATTTTTAAAAAGGAGATGCTGTCTTGTGCAAGGCATTTGGGTTGCTCCCATTTTCAGTTAAGGGGATGCTGCCAACTATCTTCTCAGTGCTGCAGCTTCAGCATTGTGAAGTGCCCTCCATGGCACACAGAAAGTCAGTTTGCCACCAAAAAGGCTTAGCCCACACCCTGGGCAAACCTCAGCACTTGGCCATGAAGATATCACATGCTCCTCCACTAGTACAGGCTGAACATAAATGATGGAAAAAAATGTTTTCTCCAAGACTTTTGTATTTACATCAAGCAAACAACTGCAGTCTGCCAGGCAGGTTTGGATGTGGCTCATTTGTACCTTGGAAAATCAACTCATGTTTTTTTTCCGGAAGTCAAAGAAATAAAACTACTTTCCATCAGCCTGGCTTCAAAGCTGAGAGCATCAACACTGGTGCCTTTCATGGCAAAGCATGCCTGGTGTCGAATTAAGGTCAAAAAAGTGCTATAAAGCATTCTTGTCTCTGTTCACAACCCAGACTGCATCTCATTTGCTCCTCCAGCACACCCAGGGTATACCCACAGTAAAGGAGAGACCCAGCCCCACACAGAGCTGTTCCAAAACACAGTGGGAACCTTTTGACCCATCCCTCTGACACCCCAGGGCAGTGAGCAGTTACCCATATACAGGTGATCCTCACTGGGGTCATCCAGGACCTGCCAAAAGAAGCAAAAAGGCAATGAAACAGTGCCTAGAAAACCTTGCAAATTAAGCATTGTGTTATTTTATTTAGCAGCCATCTCAGTTCTGCACCATCTGCACCACCAGCACGGTCTGCTCATCTCTGAGCTTCTACCCACAAGAGTAGGGGAAAAAAAGAGGACAGAGATATAGCTGTACTTCAAGGAAGCAAATATTTAAAACACACAGGAAGCATCATCTGACTCATGAGCCAAATAAACTCCAGCCTGCACATCCTTAATTCTTGATTTTTGGACTGTTTCGTACAGGCAGTGGGTGGAGGGCAAGGCGGCTGCACTGTTGAACTCACAGAAACACCAGTTCTTCCCCCAAAACCTGTCTCAGCACTTGTTTCCTCCATAGAAGAAACGTTTTTCTGCATTTCCCTTTCTAAGCAGGGAATAAAAAAATATTTTGGGAGGTGAGAATGAAAAACATTTTAAACCAAGGAATACACAATTCTCCCAAAGGCAGGACCTGCCCTTGCCCCCTTCTGGGGTCGCTCCCCTTCACCCAACCTATCCCTGTAGCATTCAGGCTCCGTCACACTCAAGGATGAATTTTGGAAAGAGACCAGCACTTACCTCCACCAGCTTCACCACGTTGGGGTGGTCCAGCTTCTTCAGGATGGCAATCTCCTGGTAGACCTGTTCAATGGGCCCCCTGGGCTGCAGGCAGCCCTCGGAAGCAGCTTTGGCCCCGCGGGGTGGAGGGCGGCCTGTGGGAAAGGCGAAGATGTGTCCAGTTGGGAACAATCCCCCAGGATCCTCAAAATATCCCCCACCCAAAAGGCTTTCTGCCACTTACGGGGGAAGCCCGCCTGTCTCATCAGCTTCTTTTTTGAGAGAACCTTCATTGCCTGCAAGAGGAGAACAAATGTGGAATTTGGGGCAAGTCAAGGATAAAATGTGGCTGGTGGGATGGGGCAGGGAGTCACCAGAGGGGATCCATCCCCCTCCCACCTGCCCTGCTGCAGGCTCCAGGGCTGTGAGCTACTCACATAGTAGGTGTTATCATCCTCGTTGTAGGCCAGCTTCACCACCCCATAGGAGCCCTGGAGAGGGGCACAGACATGGGGCACAAGTGAGGGAAAATCCAGAAAACCCACATCACCAAACCAGGCTCTGGCTCCTCCGCAAACCCACCCCACAGGGATCGCAGAGCTGGTGGGCGATGCTGGGACGAGCAGGGGGGTGTACGGTCTGACATCACACTGACAGCAAAGAAAAGCTTCAAATGCCCCATTGTGTGGGAGGGAGGGGGAAGGGGGAAAATTAGTAATAATTTTAAAAATATACAATTCAACTGGCACCACTCAGAATAGAACAGCGAGTACCAAAGTGCTGCTGTGGTGAGTGGCTGGACTTGCTCCATTCTGGAGCATTCCCATGACTGGAAAATTAAAGCAAGCCTGACACCCTCCTAACCCTAAACCCTTTCTCCTACCCCAAACCCAATATTCACCTTCCCGATTTCATCCTTCAGCTTGTACTGGTTGAGCTGCACACAGTCCTGTGGGGAGAGAACAGGGAAGTTTGGCACGAGAACTGCTCTCGTTTGCTCTTCTCCTTTTAAATCTCCAGCAAAACTTTCTCTGCAAACTCACACCCCGACCTGCTCTGCCCAAGCACCCACGTGGGGCTGGGCAGCTTTGATTCATAAAAAAGCCACCCACCAAGCCACACGTTGATGTGTTTATAGATGGCTAATTGCAAACGTGAACACCCGGGCAGACCATGCTGTCCTGTCCACTCATGTGGAACGAGAGAGACCGAGAGCCCTGAGGGGTTTAATGTTGGTGACCTGGCACCGAGTAATTTTATTTCTTCTGGGCAAAGCAGCCACTTGCTGCCTGTTTTCTGTCAGGCTGGGGGCAGGCAGGCCTGTTTTCTCTTTAGATATCAGTTAACTTCTCTTTTTTTGTTTTTAAGGAGTAAAGAAAGAAACTTGCACTACAATCCTGGTTTCCATCAAACACAGCCGTGAGAGCTGGTGGCATCAGCAAAAGGCACAAAAAACCGTGAGTTGGGGTCTCACCTCCCAGAGGGCTCTCCCCATGGCCCAGGATGTCCCCCTGCCACATACCTGCAGACATGCCATGGGGGTTTATCCCAAAAAAAACAAGTGAGAAGAAATGCCACAGTGGGAAAATCCAGGCAGATGAGGACAGGAGAACTGCAGGAGCAGCGTTCATCCCCCTCATCTGAAACATTCATCCCCCTCATCTGTAACATTCATTCCCCTCATCTGTAACATTCATCCCCTCATCTGTAACATTCATCCCCTCATCTGTAACATTCATCCCCCTCACCTGTAACGTTCATCCCCCTCACCTGCAGCCCCGTGATGGACACACGGTTGGACTCCACCGTTGGCCGCCGTGGCAGCCGTGGGGAGGAGTGCGGAGACGTCACCGGGGAATAAGGGAGGGAGGGGTAGATGAAGCGTTGGTTGGCGCCGTCGCCGTTCCCGGGCGAGCGGGCAGGCTGCGGCCGCTCCTGCAGGGACAGCTTGCGGCCAGAGAGGTGCAGCTTGCGGCCATCCCCAAAGCCCTCGCTGCTGGGCACCTCCATCTCCTCCTCGCTCGCGCTCCCCTCGTGCTCGGTCACCACGATGAGCGAGGCCATGCTGGCGTGGCCGGGGCTCAGCGCCAGGGGGTCCCGCAGCGCCGCGGGGGCTCGGCGGCCGCAGCCTCCGGCGCAGCAGAGGGGCTGTGGGGTGGGCGAGCTGCTGGGGACACGTGGCGGCGTGGAGGGACCGATGGCCTCATCCTGGCCATGCTGCGGTGGGGAGATGTGCCTGCAAACACAGGGTGGGTCAAGCCAGGCTCTCCGGAAATTGGGATTTCCTGCTGGTCATTGTGCTACAGATTGATTTATTAGTTCCGTAGGGAATGGTGAAGCCAAGGGCAGTGGTGCAGGATGGCACCAGGATGTACAATCACCCTGCCACAGACAGGACAGACCCCAGGCCAGAGCCAGCCTCAACCCTAGGGCTGCTGCCACTGCTCCTTACACCCTTTTTATCTAAACACCTCCAGGGAATATCAGCTCCATCATCTCCACTACAGAAATACTCCAGAGGGATTGTTTGAAAGGGTCAGGATAAAGAATCGCATTATACTGGCACAAATACCACTGAGTTCCCTACTTTACTGTTCCAAGTGGGCACATCTCTGCCAAGCTCCCCCAAACAAAGCAGTTCAGGGGCACAGGGACCCACTTACCAAGCGTGGGGTGCAGGACCAGCCCCCTGGCTCACTGCTTCCTCCCACAGCCCATCATTGCCAGTGATTTCTGTTCCTTGCCCTGTGGCTTTCTGTGCAAAACTCAGGTCCCCAAACCTTGAGATAAATGAGAAAACTGTTAGCAACCAAAATTTAAAAAAAAAAAATCAAATAATTAAGTGAAACTTAAAAAAGAGGAGAAAATTATGTTAATTTACACACACCAGGCACCCCACAGCACCTGGGGCTGTCAGTGGTTGGTTGGCTGTAAACCATAGCTCTTCCTTGCCCCAACACTGGTGCTGTTTTTAATTTCTAGGTTAACAAGTTGCCACAGAAGGAAGTGAAAAAAAAAAAAAAAAATATCCTGAAACAACCAGCCCAGGAGCAGGAACAGGGTTTGAGGCATTTTTCTGCCTGGTTCCCACACCTCGACGAGGCGGCCGGTTAAAATTAGCTCCACTCATCTCCATTGAAGTTTCCATGCTGCACCCGCAGCACAACCACTCTGAATCAGCCCAGCAGAAATTATGGGTCAAGTACAGAAATCAAATCGTCTCCCCCGTCCTCGAGGCTTCACAATGGCCTAATTGCTGTTTTCAACACTGATCTATAAACCAGAGCTTTTGTGCCCAAGTGGGATAGGCCTGGAGCTGAAGCCAACGCGGCACCGCTCGCTGCTCCGAGGCACGGAGAAGCACAGGGATGGGGAGGCTATAAATAAGCCAATGAACAGCAACAAGGACAAACTATTCCAGAAACACCGAGTTTCATGGGGCTGAATCCGCTCCTGGACAGAGCTTTGCCGGATGAGAGAGCCAGGAGCCACCAGCCAAGTCAAATTCCCCCCGCAGTGCTGCTGGCAGCCCACGGCAGTGTGTTTTAATGCACTCCCAAATGGATTAAAACAAACAGACAGTCCCCCCCATTCATCCTGAATTCACAGGGATGCATCTCGAGGCCATTTGCCTGGCCTGCTTTGGGCACCCCTCCAGTGGGCACATATAAATAGCTGCCCTGAAGCTGGAGCCGGCACAGAGCTGTGCCCTCTACCCTCACCGTGCTCTGCAGCCACACCAAAAAAGGCAGCTCATCGGGGCAGCCTTGGGATCAAACCACCCCAGGAACATCACTGGTAGCAACACCAGTCCCCAGCAGTGCCACAGAACGGCTGGGCATCCCATCCTGCCCTCAGAGCATCGCCTGTATCCCGATTTCCAAGGGTTCCTGATAAACTTTGCCAGGCTTGAGCAAAATTGAGTTATGAAGTCTCAGTCACACTTGAGAGCTGAGCGTGTCCTGGCCGGCGGGAGTTAATTGGCTTTACCAGGATAAACATATCAAGTCTGATTAATTCAAGCAGGCTTCCCCAGGCTCTGTAAACTAAAAGTCATCCAAGCCCCATCGTAACATCGGCTCAAGTGGGAAATCAGAGGGGTTTTCCCTCTACATGTGTGCAAGGGTCAGAGGATGGGGGTTTTCAGAAATTGCCCTCTGAGATGACACCTCCCCTGGGAGAAACCCAAAAGTGGAGTCACACTGTTGAACACAGCCCTGTTATTCTTAATAAGAACATGAGGAGGAGGAGGTGGGGAACAGCTGTATTCCCAGCCAGAGAGAAAAGTAAAATAGCTGAAAAGAGGGCAGTAATCCCAAAGAGAGAAAATACAGCCTGGGGGCTTTGGCTTCACCAACCCATCCGGGCCCTTGCCTGGGGAAAAGCAGCACATTCTGGTATGAACTCCAGCAGATCCTTATGTAAAAGGGAGCAGCACATGCCCACAAAATCCTCAGGAAATATAACAGCCTGGTGTATAGGAATGATTTATCGGCACAGCTTTTGGCTGCAATCCATATATAACCCATAGCGGCTGCAGCAGGATTATCGAAGCAATCAGTCTCGCATCTAATTCAGCAAGGAGAGGGATATTAAAATGAAAAGAGGTCTGTGAAACCCTGGCAGCAGCTCTCCCGCTCGCTCAGCGTCCACGTGGCTTGAGCGGAAGCGAATGGGGGTGAAATCAGCCCCCGCGAGGGTGAGGGATTTTCACAGCCCCCTCGGGCCGCCCCAGCTCTGCTGAGAGCGTGTGGGCCCTGCCTGGGCCCTGCTGGATGTGACCACCTCCGCAGGGGACCACGCTGACCGATTCTGGGCGAGTGCAGAGGGTGGCACCTTGGGGATTTAAATCAGAGCATCCGGATGCGTCTGCCTGCCCTTCCCTCCCCGGAGCTGTTTCTCTACCCAGATGCAGGGGCTGCACTCTCACCTTCCCCACATCTGTGTCACTGTGGCAAGGCCAGACACAGTGTCAGGATCAGACCCTCCCAAGGGAGTAAGACTTGGTGGCAGCTGAGTAGTGACCCCTCCATCCATCCTTCCATGGGGGTCAGCTCACAAACCATAACTTCAGCTTTTTTTTAAAAAAACTGAACTCAAAACACCGAAAACAGGGCTGATTTTACTCGCAGAGATCCTCCCCTGCTACTGCTGAAGGTTGGTTAAAAGCCAAGCAGGGCCAGCCTGGGGCAGTTATTGGTCTCCCTGGGCACAGTCCAGTGGCTATTTTGCTTTCCCCGGTCACGGTCAGCAGTGGAAGTGCCCATGCCAAGAGTGGTGTCATCTGCAGCAATGGGGGCATCGATCACAGTTTCCCTTCCTACGGGTGAGCACAGACCTTGCCAGAAATATATTAGTCACTGTAGTATACAAAGACCATATGCATTCCCCACCTGACTTTTAATGGGGAAAAAAAAAAATCTCTCAGCAGCTTCTCTAGAAGTCAGAGGACACCCAAATTTATGAGATACTGGAAACAGGCACTCATGCCCCATCTAGGACAGGTCCCTGTGCCCAAGCAGCAAAGCTTTTCATCATCCCCAGGTCAAATGGAAGAGCTTCCTGTATTGCCTGGCCTGGCCAACACAGGGTGGAAAGAATTGGGGAAAAAAAATGCAAAGCCAGGCTGGTAACATTGTAGTGTCACAACACCCAGCAGCAGGTTTCGATAGGAGTCACAAAAACATCATTACCGAGGTTTTTTATAATTTTGAGGATACTGCCTAATACTGCTGAAGCAGTGTGTAATGAGCATCCCAAAAGAGCATAAGCTGCAGAGATGGTGTTGAGCATGGGCCAGGATAAGTTCAGAACACCTCCATCACCTTGTCCAGTACTGCCAAGTGACTCCCAGCTTTCCTGGAAATATCAGCTCCAGCCCATGATGCCCTCAAGAGACGAAATGAGAGCAGCTCTCCACTTTGTGAACACCACTTAAAAGACATTAGGGCAGAGTCAAAAGCAAAGGCTCCTCTGAATTACCTCCCTGGAACAGCGCCGGTCCATCACACACCCCTCACAGCACACTCAGGTATGGGCTTTTGGGGTTTGTTGGGTGTTTTTCCCAAGGGAAAGTTCTCATGGAGAACCAGGAGAAGGACAGGGCTCCTTCTCCCAGGAGAGGGGCTGTTTCTGTGGGTGCGGGCCATGAAGGCAGCTCTGGTGCCCACAGCTGCCACACATCCTCTCCCCAGCGCCATCCCCCTGGCCCTGAGAACCCGCTCCTGTGTCCCCAGGGGTGGTTTCTGCCCCTGCAGCATTGCAGTCAGCCCACAGCTCCATCACACCAGCTTCCCGTGGTCATCTCACTTCTGCTCTTGGTCTTGACTGTTACCTTCATGCTCCTGATGCTCTGTGCCGTGCACGTGGCTGCAGGGCTGCATCTCACCTCCTAACCACGCTGTCACTCGCAGCAACCCAACCTGTGGCTTCTAATGACACCAGTCCCCTGTACACATTCGCTCCACCAGCTCCATCCCCCCTCTCACTTACCCCTTGGCCTTAAAACCCGCACTTTTCCCCATCCCCATGGCCTATCTTTCCCTGGCACCCCCGATCCCGGCCCTCAAGCCCCGGACAGAGTCCCGTGGGGTCTGTAGGACACGCGGTGTGTCCGGCCGGTGCCATCGCCGTGCCCGTGGTGCGGCCGGTCCCGCCGCACGTGTC